CAAAGTGTTAAGATTACAAAAAATATTCAGCCATATCCAGCTAAGTAAATGGTGTTTTTACTGTTCTACAACATACTATTACCCTCCCATCTCAGGGGTTCTGCGTATCCTGCTGTCAGCCTAGAACAAGCTTGCCCTCAGCTTCTTGTGTTACCATTTGTCTTATTCCCTTCAATTTCTGCCCCTACAGCTTTTCGTGTCAAGGGCCTGTCTAAATGACAGCTGCCACCATTTTCTCCTTATCAATTATGTTCCTTTATTCTTCTTCATGGTGCTCAATCACCATCATATTGTGTGCTTATTGCCTATTTTCTCTCTTCTGAACTACATTCAGAAAGCAGAATTCATGACAAGAAGTGGATGGTTTTCTCTGCTATATCTATAGATCTAGAACAGTGTGTGGCACATACTAGACATCCAGTAAATGTTAACTGACCAAATGTCTCATTCGAGTTCTCTGTAGGCTTTAATACTATTGGCCAAGTCCTTTCTGAGACTTTCTTTTCGATTGCCCTTACTTCTTGTTACTCTTGGGATCTTCTTTTGCTTGAATGTTTAATGCTAGTATTTTTCCAGGTTGAGACTTTAGCACCCTTTTCTCACTCTCTGCACATGCTTCCTTGATTTCTGTTCAAATACTCTTGACCATGACTGGTACCTTCCCAAATCCAGATGACTAATAGGCATATCTGTCCTCACGCTTGACTTTCCTGTGGATTTCTCTGTCCAGCTGCCCCCTGATTTCTTTTCTTGGATATTTTTCTGGGAAGTCTATGGGTGCTTCTTGAATGACAGCCTGAAGACTGGTTCTCAAGCTTATAACTTGTTTGCTGCCTTCATCTTAATGAGAATCAGACCTGTTTTCCTAATAATGATTAAAACCAACTACTCTTTGTCAAACACTACATGTAAGTGCAGCATATATAATCTCTGGGCTCTGTATTGGCTTTGTTTTAATGATGAGAAAGTTCAGACTCAAGAAATTCTAAGTAACCTACTCAAAGTTACAAGGCTTCTAATGTGTTCTTCTGCTGGTGCTTAACGTAAGATTCTGATTCTCTTCTGAGGTGATAAATGCAATCCCATCTGTGTCATCAAAAAATATTCCTAAACAAATTTAACAACCCAACCAACAGTGTAATTTTTTCTGAGTCTCCAGGACCTATTTGCCTCTTGGGGATGTAGTTCACTAGCTCTGTCCTAGACTGGTCAGAAAGATGCTATTTTTGAGCATTATCCTTTGTCTCTTCTAGAGAATACAGTGTAACTTACCCCAAATTTATTTTTTAATTGTTTCCTTATGAATCACAAAAAATCATTACAAACATCTTTTTTATCCTTTTTATTTCCTCTAAAATAAATTGTAGGGGCTGGGGAGCTAGCTCAGCAGAATAAGCGCTTGCCTGGCAAT